CGAGGACTATGGTTAAAAATTCGTATTGTCTGCTCACAACTATGCAACACTGCCTACATGGTGCAGTTTGCTTGTTTCTCTAGTTAAATAGATTAACCCCTCTTAGCTACCCTCTACAATCAATAAGGCAGCCCCAGTTTTCAAGTCATCTCCCTTATCCACTTAAAAAATCACTATGTTCTGGAAAAGCCAACTCATTGGTAAGAAATCAAATTCACCTAGACACTAAGTGATACATCTTTAAACAACACGAATATCAACATCATCATAAGATTGTAGATCCATATTTGCAAAGGATCCCAACACAAATATTTAACATCAACATAAGGTTGTAGATCAAGATCTGAAAGTCCTATAGCGCCCAATTTAGGCGTCAAGTACCAACACATGCTCTACATAAATAACATCAGTATCAATACCAACAATGTCAATAAGCAACAGACGTGCAACCACAGAAACAAGATACTGGTCATCGGAAACATTCATTTAAGTACTAAACTTCCAATGGTAAAATATTCCCTAGATACCAACAGATAGCATGTACTCGGTGGATCAGCCAAGGTCCGCGCACAAGCTGGCTAGAACACAACCATTATGAAAGAAAGGGTAAAATAAAATATTCCCAACATGAAATGGAAAGCAAAAGTTACAATCTTTCATACAAAACCAAACATTCCTTGTCACTGACTATACATGAACAACCAACAAATACATAACCTAGATAAAAGCATTTTGAAAAGCTTATATGTTCTTGCAATACCTATGTCATTGATTTACCTTCCAATGTTTGGTAAAATGCACAGTATTGGCTCTAAAAAGACAAGCTTCAAAATGACATAGTATATTTTATTTTTTGGTAAGTACAAATGAGATATATTAAATTAAGCCAACACTGATGCCTAAGTGGAATCAAGCCACCCAGAGTATTATCCCTGTATTCCATAAGCTTGAAATGCTTGAACGCAGTAACCTAAACTTAGGTGTAAGCAATTTGACTCTCCAAGAAAACAATACTACAGAAGCTGACAGCTTAAGTTCTATGAGGAATAGTGAAATACAATGAATGGAATCACGCAGCTCACTCGAAAAGTATCAATTGTTATTCTGAAGCGCAGAATTACAAATTTGGGCAACCACCACGTAACAATATGAAAATCAATCGACTATGCCTAAATTCCAAATTACTTGGGGTTGATTACATTAATCGTGATTCCACCCATGTCAAGAGGATTCATCCTACTATCAAGCACGATCAACCTACATAAAATTCCTTTTTTATCCAGATTTGGGCCAACAAGGTTTTGCACATAGGTAAATTTGTAATAACGACAAGGCAACCACAAATTTCCAGCACACCAACAACAAGAGCAGCTACACCTCAATCCAAAGTTAATCGACAGTATGAATCCTCATTATCACAATGCTCTGTCTGGATCCATAATACAGTATTTGAATACTCCGTACTTGAGGATTATCCAACACTAGGGATTCTCTAGTATACACTAGTGGTTATATCAATAATATGCTAAGAGTCCTCTAATAAGCATTTGTCTTCTAGTTGATATAACCTATACAAATTTTCAACTTTGTATTCTATCTTTTGCTAGATCTGCCTGGATTTCAAGATAGTCTATACCTATTGTAGTATTAGTATTAATGATTGAGCGTCTTAGGAGAGAATCATATCTTTTGGGTAGATTTGCTTCTCTTCAATCTATGGCTTGCATATGGCAATTCTTCCCAAATCATTAAAATTATTACTTTTTTAATAACCAAGAAATCCCCACGGGCCAATGGCGTACGATTCGAAACTCAACGCATAATGGCTCCTTTCAACTTAGATACCAGACTTTGAATGTGCCAGGGTTCAGAACCACGGCGTGCATCAATGAATAAAATTTTATCAAAACAATTCCAATTCCAGAACTCTAAAATCAACAATTAACCAAACAAAAATACCAAAATCAGCTCCACAACTCATAATCAGCTAATACTCAACATCCAACTAAATATTGTTTCATGATCATAAATTAGAACACTAAGCCCAAAACAGCCCCTCAAAAGCTAAACATTGACGCGAATAAGCATATAAACTATGATAAAATTCTACAACGTTCGAAAATTTGTTTTATTCCTCCAGAAAATTAAGTACAAAATACCATCATTGAGAAGGAAAAAGGGCACGAGTAAACCCTAGACGGATAGGAACAGAACATACAATTTGTTGTTGTTTTGGAGATGAAAATTCAGTTAATGTCGGAATCATCGAAATCATCCTGAAAGGAATTGAAGAAGTCGGCGTCGGCGAGACGGAGGTGTTCGGCGGCGAGTGGGCCTTCACCGAAAAAGTCGAGCGCGTCCACTTCGTCAACGTCCATCGCCATTGTAGATCCTTGTTCTTCCATGTCTGCTAAAAAGTCCACTACCATTGGCTTCATTGCTGTTGATTCTCAAGGGATTTTGATTTTTCTTCTCTTTCTCTCTACGGTTGCAATGCGAATCGTACAAACTTGGCTAATGGTGCAACGGCCTATTTATATATTTGAAGAATCGGGTCAAACATGGACCGACTGATCATCATCTTTACATAAATAGCCCATAGCCCCATTGTTTACTTAGATTATAAATTACTTATCTACGTTATATACATCATATATGAATTATTAATATATTATATATCTTTTGATATTTTTAGTTTAAACATTTGAGCGGGAAGTTATTTAAGTTAATTATTCTTTTCGTTTTCCGAGTTTAATTAATAGCCACAAACGTGTAAAGTTATTTTATACTACCAAGTTATTTTTATCTTTTGTATTAAAGAAACATGCCTTATATTTAAGATTATGATTTTACTTGTTAATATATTTTTCTACCTTATTTTCATTATTATTATTCTCACTTCTTATGGAGAATTAGTACGTGGAAGAAACTACCTCAATACTAAGCCTTTGTCTTTAGTTTAAAGTTTTGAACTACACTAATACAATTCTGGCAAACTAGTCGGTTTAATGAACTTTTTGTGGTCAAATTAGGTATAAGTGTGTTATCTCTAGTTTAAAGGAGTTCTAAATATAAAGACAAATTTAGTGTTGGAATGAAATGAGATCGAATAAAGGGGAATGTATTAAAATTTTACGCTGCAGACCTCAACTAGTTATGGATTAAAATTATTATTTTTAATTTATTCAAATGACTCTTTTCATTGATATGTCATTAGCAAGGATTCTACAGTGAACAAATAAGCGACCAAACATTGTTCTGCATAAGGGGTGTACATAGGTCGGGTTGGTTCGGATTTTACAATTACCAAACCAAACCAATTGTGTCGGATTATTAAATCTAAAAACCAAATCAAACCAATAAAATTCGAGTTTTTTACTCTCGGGTTTTCGAGTTATTCGGATTTTTTCGATTTTTTTCCCCGGTAAAATCTTTGTAGAATAAAACATATAAATAGTGCTCAAAATATTTCTTTAGTCATAGTAAGATACAACTATATAAAGTATTTTCCAAGAAAATAATACAAAATATGAAATATGTCATGACATTATCCTAAAATATTCAACAACAAAGACAATAAAATTATGTAATATAAATATTGCTAATTAAAAAGCCATAATAAAAATAAACATAATCTAAGTGGTCGTTTGGTATGAGGTATTAGGTGGGATAAGAGTTGGGATTAAATTTTTACCTTGTTTGGTTGGAGGTATAAATTTATCCTGGGATAAATTTGTATCTTGTATGGTTGGAGGTATAAATTTATCCTGGGATAAATTTGTACCTCTAACCAAACAAGGTATAAACATAATCCCAAATCCTATTCCACTTATCCCATCTTATCCCAATGTATACCATCAATTGTGGGATTATATTATTCCATCTTTTATGTGGTATAAATTAGTATCGGGGTTATAATCCCAGTACTATTTTGTCCACGTACCAAACGACCTCTAAAAGTACTAAGTCATGCTAAAATAAGTAGACTAATAAGGAAGTATTAATTACATGACTAAACGCTAAATAAAAAATAAAAATAGGTTATGCATTTTTATCTAAATTATTGCAAAACAAAAAATAAATATTCAATATGTTCGTAGTATTGAATTGAATGTCTTTTGTTAGCATTAGTATTGATTTGATTTTGGTTTGGGCGTTTGTTAGCACTATTCAATTTACTAATGTTAATGGCTATAAAACTTATTGGAACATTCAAAAGTTCTAAGTTCAACCTTGAAATAATACCTCAAAAGATAAAATTATGAAATCTTTTAAGAAATATTTATAAATTACATCACAATAAGTATATTTATATATTAAATATATCTAAAATTTCTATATATGTAATGTCGGGTTGGTTTGGTTTCGGTTTGACTTTCTTTAGTTAAAACCAAACCAAACCAATTATGGTCGGGTTTTTTTTCCAACACCAAATCAAATCAAACCAAACCATAATCGAATTTTTTTTCTCGGTTTGACTTGAATTATCGGATTGGTGCAGTTTGTCGATTTTCTTTGTACACCTCCAGACTTCTGCAAAAGTGAGTTATCAGTTGACACGAGAAAACTGAAACATATCGACGAGTATGATGCTTTAACCAGTAGTACAATTTTTGCTAAAATAACAGTTGTTGCTTCGTCACATAAATGCTCAAACTCATCTTTGGAACAGCCAACAGAATATACCTAACATCTATGAATGGATATATCAACAACGAATAAATAAGGTTCATGTGGAAAAAAATTAATGAAATTATACGTATTAATATTGAGGAAGGGAGCCTAAGCGTAACTAGTAAAATTACATGTGATCAGGAGGTCACGAATTTAGGCTGTTTTTCACAGCCTCTTGCAAAAATGTAGGGAGACTGCATACAATAGACCCCTATGGTCCGGCCCTTCCCCAACCCTGCACATAGCGAAAGCTTAATACACCGGACAGCCCCTTTTTTATACGTATTATATTGAGCTATAATCCACCAAATCGCAAGGAAATCATGTCCAACAAAGGTTGTTCGTGTCCACTTCATTAACTGTTCAGGGAACGTAGCAAACAAAAGAATAGGTCAAAAACCAGAAAGCAAAGGACGCAAAACATCCATCAAAAACTGGATTCTTTTAGATTCTAGTGCATAAAAGATCTAAGTATCTAAAGTAGTAAAGTACAGCCATTTCACAACTTGGCTCCTTGTTTTCCCTAGGAATGTCATTATGAACCTGACGAAATTAAATACAATAACAAGCACCAGCTTCCCTTAAAAACACATTGAGATCATTGAATTTGTTACGTAAATCGGGACAATGACAACCCAAGAAACTAGATTTAGTTTCGCTAGCGTCTCTGCTTGATTATGATTTATGATGCAACTAAATCAGGAGTTTCAGCCTCTACTGATAGCAAAGTAGTGTGAACTTTCTCCACCCAATTGTCTAGCCGATCACGCAATGACTTGATTTGGGGGATTCCAAGAACTCTTGGTTGCACCCAGGAGACATGAATTGTCCCCTCCACTTGATCAATTATTCCCTCAATCAGATGCACCTACAGTAGGATAACATCAAAACAGTCGTAAGTAAAATAAAAACAAAAAGGCTTTCCTAAACCTCCAAGGGAAGACAGCTAACATCAGAACTGCAGGTGTGGAATATGCAAAGTACATCAGAATGACTGTAATGTTCACCACACCTCTTATTTTCATTAATCCACAAAACCAAAAAAAAAAAAAGGAAGATCAAAGGTCGTTGTGCTAAAATAAAAGAGGATTATGAAGCTAAGATGGATGAAATAGAAAGGGAAGGTGCATCATGAAAGCGAAGAATTCACAAAACTATCTAATTTCTTTCTTTTCCTTGAATAGATGGTAGAGCCAAATTCCCTTGTCCCTCGAAAATATATAAAGGCAACTCTTCTAATTTAACTACAAAGAGTTCCACTTACAGAAAGGCTCTTCATGAGGAGATATTCAACATCTTCCACACCCAACTTTGTGCGCTCTGCGATGACACTCAATGGGATAGTTCTATCTTCTGCCGCGCGACTGCATGCAAAATACATAATCCAGAAATTCACAAATCATGGTAACAGGCAACATATGATGAATATTTTCATTTCCTGCAGAACTTCCTATAACAATACCTGAAGATTATTTCCATCAAGCAGAGAATGTTGATCTTCTCCAGAAGCTTTTTCTCGTTCTGCACTAATGCTGGTTGAGCATTCAATGCAGCTTGATGGACATGGCACAATTCTTGGTAATGAATCAAATCGCCGGTGTTGAATGCTTCAAGAATATGATAGAGCCACTCAACCTTGGTCCCCAAGAGGCTATTTACCTATAACAAGTTAAAACAAGTCTCCTTATATTCGACATGACATCATCAACACACAAACATAAGACTGCTATATGGCTCCCGTGGTCAAAAACAGTAGTCAAAAAGGAATTTTCTGAGTTCCTTAGCCAATTTTACAGTAACGCTCCTAAGTTGATAGTTTGTTTTCGGTTTGATAATTGATCTGGACATCTTTTGACCCTATTGCATACGGTTTCAGTCTTTCGGTACTGAATTAACTAAATTCCCACAATAAATAAAAAGAAGAAAAGAAAATCTTCCCTTTTACAATAACTTGAAGGGAAATAAGAAAAAAGTCAGTCAAGGCGCTCACTATCAGGATGGACGGTTATAAGTGTTTAGCGAAAAGCTATAGTGTCACTTTTGCCTCATATGACAGCTTTTAAAGTCACAAAGCTCTTCAAAAGGAGGTTAAGGTATCTGGAATTCTGGAGTAGGTGTAGGACTATGGGATTCAATCCACCCCATTCATGTGAAAACTCAAGGAGTAGAGAAAAAAGATAAATAGTTTATCTATTAGCCAACTTGGATGTTCCAAATTCCAATGAGAAGAAACAAGATCTTTATGGAGAAGAGGAGAGATGTAAGGAACAACCAGTGATAGCTAGGACAATATACGACATTCCCTACCCTTATCCCTAAAAGGAGAAAAGAAAAAAAGAGAGAAGATATTATGTCCCTTATCCACACAGAACATGTAATATTCATAGTACCCTCTGACAATAAAGAATTCTACCATAAGGACCTTGAATGTTCGAGATCAACACGGTAAAACATGTTAGATATCCAGAACCAACACTGTACAAATAGGGTAGACGATAATCTTTTTGAAGACATTATGATAAATAACTACTGAAAGTAGTAAAATAGTAGAAGACACAAGTTTTATCATTAAACTTCCTAGAAGATGGTGCAGAGATTAATCAGCAGGCAAATTGAAATAGAATGACTTTTAATGATTTATCCGGAAATCTTCCAGCGACATATCATTTAGAAGTATCACAAAGACACAAACTACGACGCATTTCAGGCAGAACAGGACATCTAAATGACACTACCCTTGAATTTTTTAGCTAATACCATAAGACAGTTTTTATCCCTTAATGGGAAAGCTTGAAATCCTTATAGCAAAAGACAGAAGGAGGAAGCAAAGTACAGAAACATAAGCGCACAAGCTGTGATTTCTTAATAATACCCAGCTCAAGAACTAGGAACTGGAAAGCGCCATTGAAGCAGGTCCATTGTGGTTTAGACCAGTTTACTGGTTTTGCCTTGACTTAGGTGAAATCTAGTGTCTAACCAGACTAGAAACATGAACCATTCACAGTTTAATGGATCAAAGCACCTTGTCAACCAGTATCATTGGCATTAGCCCTGATAATAAACTTTCAGCAGCAGATGTGAACTCCCAGTCCAGCACAGATGACATCATGTTAAAGCTTCTGGGACTTTCAAGTCCTCGGGAGAGGACGCCAATAGCAAATTCCCAGAAGGGTCGTCACTTAGCCACTTCCTCAAGAAAGAGCTTTACCGGACACTCCCAATCCCAGAACTCTAGGCTCTCTAGCATACGGAAAGCAAAAAAAACAAGGAAATGTATGGTGTAAACTTACAATTGGATGAGCAAGCAGTTCACCAAAGTTGTATATGTTGTCTCCCAGCAAAGCTGACAGAGATAAATCAAACGCCAAATCCTACATGTCAAAGGAGAAATAATTAGCACTAAATAGCAATAAAACATATGACAATCACAAAATTTGAGGTGTACCTTCATTAACAGACTAAAGTTGCAAGGCACCACAACCAAGAATTATTTCTACTCAGAAATTAAATACCTAGTACGAACGGCCCTCAATAACAAACCAAGAGGCAATCCAGCTTAATGCAATCAACTGATAGAAAAGACAAATAAGCATTATGGGAATACCTTTTAAAGACTCAAGATAGATTGCCAAACACTTATCATAAATCCAAAACCAAGGATCTTCAACCATTTCTCCCAAATTTTGAAGAGTTAATAAGTAAAAAGGAAAAAACAGATGACCATCGGTTCAGAAACCCTAGTGAATAATACTGTACTTAAGGACCAAACTATGAACATGAGCTGCCACTGCCATACAGAAGTTCAAATTCTGTATATGTTAAAGGAACTCACTGATAGCACCGGCAGCTCCGTCCAACAATACTCTCTACCTCTAACTAGACTGGCACACAGCATAATGTGAAAACATTTATCACATGGAATACATATATACATATATATACATATATATATATATATATATATATATATATATATATATATATATANCACGAAGAAAATGCGAGGATACGCAGCACAGAGAGGAGGCTGGAGTAAAAATGACAATATTTTCATTTTTGGTAATGTGACATGTCTAATGTTTTCTTTTCTTGTTAATGTGTGGTTGACTCATAGTACGCAATTTCAAACGTGATGGGGATTAAAGAAAGGTTCATGCCAAAGATTCCTCCTATCTCTTGAATACCAAGTAGCATAGCCATGAAGGAGAACCAAGGTAACACTAAAAAGTATCTAAACTTAAACTGAATCTATGAAGAAAAGCAAGATGCTAATCTAATGTTTTAAGCAAGATAATCAACTTAATTTAGCCAAGGAAATAACTAGCAAACTTTCCACTGGAATCTCAAACAGTCGTGTTGATAAAGCTGATAAAACACCATATTTAGTCCAAAATCAAATTATAGGATTTCTGATTAGCAAGCAGATTTGTAGCACCAAGAAAATTGAAGCAAGGGAGACGTATGCATGGGTGTCATAAATACAGCTAGCCATGACCAAAAAATTCTTAGATCAGTCTTCAAATATTATGAGAACCGAGAAACAATTACCAGCTTAAACGATTCAGAAAGAGATTCCACAGAAGTGTATGCAAGATAAAGAAGAGCACTTCTGTAAAACTCGGCGAACTCCTGGCGAGCTTTATGGTATTGAGACGAAACCCAATAATAGCTAGCATAAACAGAGGGATCAATGTCAGTCATGCTGTCAAGTGTAGTCTTCCCCTCTTCTAAAAGAATCTTGCAATCTTTTTGATCCCCTTGTTCAAGCTTAAATAGGGCAATCTGCAACTTAATGTATAGAATTGGCTCCTCTATGCGTGTCTCCTTAGTATTTTGAAGTTTCTCGATCACTCCTTCAAGGTAACCTATAGCAGCTTCTTTCTCTGCATACCGCCGGGAAACAATGACTGCAAAATGTGCAAGCTTGAGAAGATTGATCTTTGTCTCAAAATCAGTGATGAAATTGTGATACAGCTGTATCAGTGCATCGCCTGCCTGAAAGTAAAATAAGGGAACAACAAGAAATATGTTCAGAATATTACACTCTAAGCTCCAAAAGAGTCAGCACTCTGGAGCATTACCCGCTCCTGAGAAGATCTAATGCAACATAGTTTTACTAGTTCCATCCTCAATAGTATTCAGGTACACATGACATGTTTAAATAGCAAAACACAAATTAACAAATTCAGGGATGGAGCTAATGGAAGGCCTTATCAACAGGGGCGTATCCAGCCTTATGGTACCGGGTTCATCTGAACCCATTACTTTTGATGCGAGCACAATTTATGTGTAAAAATTCATTAATATTGCAACAAATTGTAGCTATAACCCATAACTTTAAAAATATAATGGGTGCAATGCTAAAAAACTCAGATATTGAACCCATACAGTCCATACAGTTTAAATCCTAGATCTGCTTATCAATTAGTTAAAATTATCTCAAGACTTCCCCAGCAAAGCTCTAATTTCTTAACTTGTGTTTTTGTTATTTATACAAGTCATGTATACCTGAATTCTATTGGGGCCATCTATATGAATCCTTACTGAACATGATTCTACAATTTAAATTCATCTCAGGCCAACATTATGCAGAACGGGAATAGAAATAAAAAGTAGTAGAAGTTCTGTGCACTATATATTCAAGCACGAGAGAAAAAAACAAATTAATCCGCAAAGACCCTAATTCTTTTACAAACCTAAACCCATCGCACAACTACAAAATGCCAAATATAACAATAATAACATATATTCCACTAATATTAGACAAAATTTTGAGATAATTCTACCATAAAATTTCAAAAAACAGACCTGAAAAACGGCGAGGGCAACGAATTGTTCGAGCTTAAGAGAAAGCTGGTGCCAGAGCTTGCGCTGGTACAGATCTGATAGCGTATTGTACCAATCGGATAGCTCTGGATGTGCATTTCGAAGTGAATCTAAGTACTCTAAAGCGGCCATCGCCGATTACTCTCAATGATGAACACGAAGAAGAAGAAGAAGTGAAACTGTAAATCCTTTTATAAAACCTCTTAAAATTTAGGATTTCTTCTTCTGCACGAAGAAAGGAATAGACTCTCAAAATATCTTATAGTGGGGTTTCTCGTAATTTGGATATGATTAATGGGCAAATGTGGGATTTACGAAGCTTTCATAAGACAAATTTACCCACTCAATATAGATTTTATAAACTTAAAAAGATTTTATTTTTTATAACCAAGAAAGAACAAAGGCAATTCAAAATTAAGTGGATAATAGACTCACCCCTCTAGACTTAGGGCTGGCATATATCAGGTAAAATCGATACTCGCATCGAAAAAATATTATTGGGTTATGGGTATTGGGTTATTGAATTAATAGTTCGGTAACGTTTTAATGTTATTTGACTATTGAGTTATTGGTTCGGGTCTTAGTTTGCCTAATTTTATTAACAGTTTAATCGATAACTCAATAAACTTTATTAAAATTACAATTTTACTCCTTCTCTCAATTCTCTCTATCGTCATCTTCATACCAAACTTTTCTGAATTTCTCATCTTTATTTTTCAATTAAATTTTTTAATTTTAAACTTTAAACACTAATTTTTTAGCATTCGCAAGATTAGAATTTTACTATTTTTCTATGAATATGTCTGCTCGTACTGAGATAGTTAGTAAAATTAGAATGTTGAGTGTCTTATCAATTACTCCTATTTGTTATAAAATAAAAGCAATGCAGTAAAATGTAAACAAGAAGAGATAGAGAGAATGGAGAAGTGTTTTCTTCTTTCACTTTGGTATAATTTTTCATTGCAATTACATGGCCTTTTATAGGCACAAAAAGTAAAGATGATGGACATAAAATAGGAAATTTAATCTTTAAGTTATTCACAACATAGGCATCCAATGTAGCATCCAATGTAGTATCCAATGTAGTATCCAATGTACAAACTATTCATAACACTCCCCCTTGGATGTCCATGTAAGATAATGTGCCTCATTTAAAACTTACAAAAAAAATATTGGGATGTACATAGTTATTTATAATATGCATTGTTTGCTGCCTCATTAAAAACCTTACCAGGAAAA